TGAACGTGAGTATCAAACCCGTGCGGCACCGCGTCAAAATATTCCTTTCCTAAACCACATATGAAGCAGTTACTTTCCATATTTGTCTTCACGTTCTCGAGCTGGTCTCGAAGTTCGCCGAATGCATCGATAATCAAACCTGAGAATCGATTGCAATATTATCATCGGGCTCTCTTTTTGTCGCGAATAGAAAAATGGATCGTGCGCGTTTACCTTGAATGATAGCTAATAGAATGACGATTACGAAGAAGAAGAATGTGATATCGAACATTATACGATAAACCTCGTAATCGTCGCCGTCAGGTTCCCCGATCTCGTCACCTATGCCACCGCCAGCCCTTACGCCTTTGTACAAATGGAAAACAAAGCACTGCCAAAAGACAAGATAAATATATTATAATTAGATAAAGACAAATAAATTATAATTAGATAAAGATTTTTTATACGGCACATTTTTCTACGCAGCATACCGTTAACATATGGTGACACTTTTTGTCCGTTTCATCGTCTTCCTCTTGTATATAGAATTTTCTAAAGAAATTGAAAGCTATCACGGTGTAGATATATACTACGATTGTCAGTAGCATCACTGTCAAAACCAATTGCTTGCCGTTATGCGTTACGGACTGTAAGATCGTTCTCAGAGTTTTGAAACCGACCGCGACGTCCAATAAATGAGCGGCGAAAAAGAAATTATTGTAGTTTCCGAGGATCGAAAACGTGAAGTACCATAAACTATACAAAAACGCCTAGAAATAAAATAATATGTTTAAATATATCTTTTTAATATAAAAATATATTCATAACGTTATATAAATTATTTAAAATTTTATTCAAATTAATTTTTAAAAACACGTACGTTATCCGTAATGGTGACACCGGCCTTCCAAATTTGATATCTCCAGTCGATATTTATAATGCTGCAAAACATCAATCTTGTTTTCACAAAATCTCATCAAAAGATATAGGATACTATCAAGACATTTACTTACAAATATATCAAGCCAGATCCTTCCTCTTCCTGTTGGCTGAAAGAAGTCTTTTCCATTCCGAGCAAATTGCTGATGTAATCGAAATCGTACGTTTCGCTATATTTTTGTCGGACTTTCTTTTTCACAAACTTGTCCCAATAATTCACGGGGAAAGTTTTCGCTGATATTACCATTTTGTCCCAATGCGCTTTAATGTCATCCTCTTCCGGCGTCTCAGCTATATACAATCCATCAAATTCTACTCGTCGTGCAATTTCCTTCTCTCGTTTGAAAATAGCTAATGGAACCTGAAATAATATATATATATTTCATGATATGAATTATATTTATCACATATTTGCAAAAGAAATATATGATATATTATGAAAAAATATTATTAGAAAATACATGCTTCAAATATTAATAATTTACATTAAATATATTTATGTATAGCTATTATAATTATTCGGCTTTCAAATATACCTTCAAGTGATAATATGCAACCAGCATGGCGAGCGAAACGAGAGAATGAAAAGCAGCAAATAATCGCATGATGTGAGCCATGTAGTAATAATCCACTTCCACGAATTCGTTACCCTCATCATCTTCCTCTTCCGAATCATCTTCACCGCTACCGCTACCCATTTCAACACCGCTACCTGCTAAACCCGATGGACCCTCACCCGACATTTCCGCCAATATATCCGCTATTTTACCACTACCTTCTTCATCCAAGTCTTCAACCAAATACGAAACCTAGATTAAAATCAACATACACGAAAAAGATATGAAACAAATTTCTCTCTTAGATTTATAAATATACGTAACATGAGTTTATGAAATCTTTAGTAAAGATTTTAATATCTTTATAGAAAATATAAGATATATGAGCTTTTTTCATTACGAAGCTTTCGCGAACCTTGTAAAAGAGCAGCATAAAATTGATGCAGAAGGCGAGGGCCAGCGCAACATATTTCAAATTGTAGAAATTTCTGGCTAGGAAAGACACCACGCGGTGACTGTACTGGGACAAATCGATACTCGATCCTGTAGAAGGTTCGGCTGAGGTTTCTTGTTTCGCTTCGGCTTCAACCGCTGCCATGGCTGCTTGTTGAGCCGCCGCTGCTTCGGCCGCTGCGACAGCTTGAGCCCTGGCCTGCTCGCCACTATATAAATATCGTAACAAACCATTTAATTAAGAGAAAAGAACAATCATACACAAACAATGTATTAAAAATTAATTTCATACATCATTAAGCGAGGAAATATACACTTGATATAATTAATTTCAGCTCGCTGCGAGATAAAGATAGAGAGAAAGAGAGAGATTTCTCCAAGCCGACATATAATATGAACATATTATTTTCTACTTTAAGAGAATAAGAACAATTAATTTTTAGAACTAAATTAATTTTTCTTTTATAATCAATTGAGGGTAACTCAGGCATGTATACATGTGTGTGCGCGCGAGATACGCGACGCGGATGCTACTATGCTACAATCAGTTGATCGGTTAAAGCAGTAATAATCTTTTATTGCGTACAGACCGCGACTGATTCCGTGCTTTTAGATCGATATCCGATAAGTACTAAATCATTTAAACAAATGATTAAATGATAAAAGAACGGAATACTCTGAAACATTAATATTTTTAGTATTTACATTAGTTGTTACATACTGACCCAAGCAAATCGGCTAAACTGACAGGTGCTTCGCTCTCTCCTCCTTCAGCTGTCGCTCCCTCCTCACCGGTACCTTCTTCAGGTGTACTTTCGCCAGTCTCTTCGATACTAGATTGCGGCGTAGAAGTGCTCGATTCATGCGGCGCTATTTTTATTTGTCCTCCTTCCTCTTTTGTTATATCCATTCCGAAAGCTTGCACCTGTACGAATATTTAAGATATTTTTTAATGTCGTATTATATTTTTAACATTTTTAGATTACATCGAAAAAATCTTACCTGTAGATTCGATTCATCTGGTGTCGGTGGCAAAGCAGGTAAATGTCTCGACGGTTTCTCCTCCTCCTCCTTGACGACAACAGGCTCCTCTAATCGTGGTCCTCTCATTAGCGTCAATAAAAGGCTCATAAAATACTTGATTACGCAGCCGACGCCGAAGCCGGAATAATAGAACGCGTAGAAAATCATTTTGAAAAAGCCGATAAAGAGCTCGGGAATCGTCATCTGTTGCATCTCGGCAATCTTGTTTTTGATATTGGTCGGCGAGAACATATAGAAGAAATAGTAGATGCCGTCTTTGAAGGCTTGT